GATAAATCGATTATAACCCCCCCCCAGTTTGGGGCAGGCAGAAAAACAGCTGCAGGGACAATGAAAAGACTTTTCTGCTCCAACTTCTCCCAGCATGCTGAGCTAATGGTTAGTTGGTGTTTTTCTCCAAACACTCTCTCACTCTTCTCTCAACGTGTTCACAATAAACTGTGAACAGACACCGAGGAGAGCAGCAGAAGACCTCATTCAGGAGCTAAACTCAACATGAACTGAACTCACAGTAAAGTTAGCTCGGTGCTTACCTTTAGATGAGCCCACAAACCGAGAGAAACTCCGCGATGAAGCTGCAACTCTTTCCAAACACAGGAAACAGATCAGGGAGCAGAGACCCACGTGGTTCACGCTGATCTCAGCTACGATCCAGGAGACAAGGGTGGGCAGATCGATGCAGATATCGATCAGGACGTTGGTAGTGGTTTATGATCGATACTTTAGTTTGTTTCTCTCCTCTAAGTTCACTACTTTACTCCCGTTTCATGAAAAAACAGCTCTCTGCTCGACTCCTCTCTTGCACACACGCACACTCTTTGCTGCTCTGCTGTGATTCGTTACTGTGATCACGTGACTGACAGACAGCGAGAAAGAGAAGCGTCATATGAAGATCTCGAAAAGTTGATTCTGTTCATCTGGACGTAGCGTTTTTAGTTGATTGATCAACTCTCTGTGAATGGTACTCATGGCCATTGATCATTGGGCTTTGATCAGTGGTTGTTGATCAATGGTCATGAGGATTTGCATAATCATGATTAAGGAACTGACCTCCCAGCCCATTGTTCCTTCAGTGGGCTGGTTTCAGTCATTATGCAAATGTACTGTTTACTGGGGAAACCTGCAGTCAGCTGAGACTGAAGACGTCACCTGGATGATGATGAAACATTTCTCCCACTGAAAACACTACGTCCAGATGAACAGAATCAACTTTTGGAGATGTAATTATTAATAGTGCCGTCAGCATTAACACATTAACTTTAAGTGCATTTAAAACACGGCAGGGCATGGTGCTTCCTGCCAGAGAGCAGCAGGTCCCCCTCCCGAGAACCCTCAATGTCTACATGCATTGAAAATTGATAGGCAGGCACCGGCACCAGAGGTGAGGCTGAATACACAGAAGGGACATAGGGGGATGCCTCCCCAGCACCCTGGTGACACGCCTGCACCCCAAGGCCCTGCATGTGTGGGTGGGTGTGGTGGAGCGGGAAGAGGGAGGCAGTTGGGGATTCAATTCCAATTTTGACCTCCAAGCATTGAAGGCCAAAGCTCGGCAGCTACAGCGTAGATACAAGAAATCTGGTTTAACTGTTGATGCAGAAATCTACAAATACCATGTACTTCAGTATAAAGACTCCATCAACAAGGCCAAACAAAGTTTCTACTCAGGTATTATCAGTTCTTATGAGGGTAACACAAGGATTTTGTTTTCAGTTCTCAACAAACAAATTCAACCCCCCCAACGCTTCACTTCTGAAACCTGTAGCTCCTTGATGCTGTTCTGGACTACAAAAATCAATAACATCCACCAGCAACCCAGTTCAAATGTTGTGTCTACCCCCTCTCCAGAACCTTTTCTCTATTTTGAGCTGTTTTCCACTTTTCATATCCCTGATTTATCTGATATTTCTGAGTTCATATGTAGATCAAAGCCTGCCACGTGTCATCTTGACCCTGTGCCTACAGGGCTTGTGAAATCCTGCCTCTCTTCCTTACTCCCGCTCATCTCTGCTATCGTCCACTCTTCACTCACCACAGGTATCTTTCCCTCCGTATTCAAGATTGCTTCAGTCACTCCCATACTGACAAAACCTTCTTTAGATCCTAACAACTTTAACAACCTCTGTCCGATTTCTAATCCACCCTTCATCTCTAAAATACTTCATTCACACCTGGTTAACAATAACATCTACAAGAGATTTCAATCTGGTTTTCGTTCATGTCACAGCACAGAAACTGCTTTACTTAGAGTCACTAATGATCTTCTAATCAGAGCTGACTCTGGTCTTCTCACCGTTCTCATCCTTTTGGATCTGAGCTCAGCCTTCGACACCATCTCTCACTCTGTCCTTCTAAGCAGACTCTCCTCTCTCGGCATCTCTGACACACCGCTAGCCTCTTCTCTTCATAATATACATCCTCCCTCTTGGTACTATTTTTGCAAATTTGATCTTCACTTTCACTGTTTTGCTGATGACACCCAGTTATATCTCTCCTGCAGACCTGATTCCTCCCTCCCAGCTTCTTCCCTTACAGAATGTCTATCCGAGTTAAAATCCTGGTTCACCTCTAATTTTCTAAAGCTCAGTAAGGATAAAACTGAAATCCTCCTTATTGGCACCAAATCCAACCTTTTGAAGGCAAACCATTTCTCACTCACCATCGATAACTCCACAGTTTTCCCTTCTCCTCAGGTTAAGAGCCTTGGTGTCATCCTAGACAGTTCACTTTCCTATAAATGTCACATCAATAATCTCACCTGTTCTGCCTACTTCCATCTACGCAACATTAACAGATTGCTTCCTTCTCTTTCCACCCAGGCTACGTCTTGTTCATTGTCTCGTTACCTCCCGTATTGACTACTGCAAATCTCTCTTACATGGTCTCCTCCAAAAATCCCTCCATAAGCTTCAACTGGTTCAGAACTCTGCTGCTCGCATTATCACCGGATCCCCTCCTACCAGCACATCACCCCTGTTCTTCAGGAACTTCACTGGCTCCCTGTGAAATTCTGGATAATACACAAACTTCTTCTGCTCACCTTCACTTCCATTCATAACCTCACACCTCCCTATGTTTCTGACCTGTTAAGCGCTACCTTGGGGTGGCTGTGGCTCAGGTGTTTGAGCAGCTCAGCTACTGATTGGAAGGTTGGTGGTTTGATCCTAGGCTTCCCCAGTCTGCATGCCAAATATCCTTGGGCAAGATACTAACCCCAACTTGATCGGAGTGTGAGTGTTTATTCGTTTGCACTTGAGTTTAGAAGTGCTTGAATGAATGGGTGAATGAGGCATGTTGTATACAGTGCTTTGAGTACTCCGGGAGAGTAGCAAAGCGCTATATGAGAATCGGTCCATTTACCTTTTCTGCCCGCTCACGTTGATCTTCTTCTACTATCCAGCTTTGTGTGCCTTCCTTCGGCCTCAGCACCATGGGAAGCAGAGCTTTTAGCTGCTCTGCTCCCAGGCTGTGGAGCTCTTTACCCCCAGATATAAGAAACATTGGTTCTCTCCCCCAGTTTCAATCTCAACTCAAAACCCATCTGTTCAAATCTGCATATTCATTGTGAACCCACTGTTTGTTAATTTTATTTGTGCTTTTGTTTTATTGTTCTTCATTGTGTCTAGAGCAGGGCGATATGACCAATAATATTCATCAAGATATACATTTGAAAATTTGCGATAACGATATAACTGACGATATAATTGACACTAGACAAAATACTTTACAACTCCACAACTTTATTAGTGCAAAAAAATAAATAAAACCCATCAATGTATTTTCACTTAAACAAGCAGCTGTTTTTTATGTGCATTAAAGTTATATAAAAATGTAACGGTGCAAATTCCTCGCTGACAGTTTAACCAAAAGGCATTTCCAGTGGAAACTGGCCGACACATCCTCAGCATAACCATGTATAATATCCACAAAACTTAAAACGAGGTTATACACACACAATACGGTAACATTATGTTGAAGCGCAGTACGTATCACTCCGGCGCCAGCCGTAATGCTCCGACAATCCATCAAGCAGTGCGGCTTCGTAGCTTAGCAAAGTCGTACTGAAACATTTGACAGATTTTCGAGCGCCGTGCACATAAAATCGTTTCGAGGTCAGTAAACACAACCAGAGTTCATACATAAGGCACACGGGATTATAAGGGGCTCTGTCGACTTTCAGAAAAATCAAAGGATTGATTTTAAGTGCGCCGTATTTTCCAAACAACACGGTAATAACGACGGCCCGCTAGCATGCGCTACCAAAAATAGTGCTTTGTTGTGTATCTGACAGACGAAAGCTAAACCAGTTCCACACCACTGAAGTTGCAGCATTTTTACAAACCAGTTCTGATTCAAATAAAATTTGAATTTGAATTTGATTCATCCGTTCCATTCAACGATCCAATTTCCCCCTTCTTATTCTGCATCGCCGCCATGTGCGTATGTAAACAAAGGCGATGCGCATGTGCGTTTTACCCAAATTCTATCGCCATATTTGATTTTCTTATCGTTGCCCAACATTACACCGGTATTACCATGAACAGTATATGGCCCAGCCCTAGTTGTGTCATTGCTCTATTATGTGTTTTATCCTATTGTACAGTATCCTTGGGTGTCTTGAAAAGCACTTTATAAATAAAATATATTATCATTGTTACTATTATTATTATATAGCGCCAAGACCATTCCTCACCCCTGCTGCACGCAGCCACAAGGAAAACACCATCGAAGAGCCACCAGAGCCCCTAACCAGGTCATGACCACAACCCCCAGGTTAAGCTTCAGGGAAAACATCTCTAGGGACTCTCCAGACCCCCTAAGCCCATCCCTACCCCCATATCAAGCACAGTAGCGAAGGCGGGACCTCGGGACGGGACGACCCTCCACCGCCACTAGGTGACGGATGGAAGTAACCCAGAGGGATTGATCTAAAGTGGTGGCAGAGGCTGTATCAAGACTAATGTGATGGTTTCTGTATTGGTTAGAGTTAAGATTATTTATATTTTTCCAGTTCATGAGGACTGTTTTCTTGGCTTTGCATAGGGCAGTAAAAACTGTTGTATTTTAGAAAGTGTTCTGTATATGTTAGACAATAATTTGGGGGTTTTAAGAGTAAGAAATTGTACCACACTGATTGAGTCCGTTATTACACTCTTAAATCCTACTACTTATCCGTGCGTCTTTCAGGATCTTACAAAGCTTCAAACGACGTGTCGACATTATCGTGACTAATCGAGGCAGCCCTAGATAGTTCAGAAGTAAATCATGCATTATCTCAACCTTTATTTCCTTTATACGTTCATGAAGGGATACAACAAAATAAAGAAGAATTCATCAACATCTAATGGAAAATTGAATACATGCACAGTATAGCAGGTTCTCTCTCAGTGCAGCCAGCTGGATGAGGTTTACTGATCAAACCACGACAGAGAGATTCTATATTCAGGTAAGACAATCTTTAAGAAATGACAGAAAAATACAAACTGTAGGAACTACTTGTCAGTGTGGTCACATTCATCAGCAAGCAACAGACACGTTCAGGTTCAGTTGAGTTTACTTGTATCTGTAGGTACGTAAGCAGCTCATCCATCCTAAAATGAAAGCCCTTCAAATCAACACAGACAACAGAAACAGAATGAAACACAGTGAAGGGAAAAAAGAAGAAAATATGGAGAAAGGGCCATATGTTGTTTTCTTTCTCTTAATAGATGAAAGCATTGTGTTTGAAAAGTCTGTTTAATGATCTAAAGCAAGTTAAGTGTGGCAAACATAAAATCAGGAAGGGGGAAAATACTTTTCTAAAGTATTTCTAAATTTAACATCCAGGATTATTTACTGCAGGTCCAGAAATCAGAGCTACCTCATCAGATCCAAGTGTGACATCAGCTGCACTCTTTACAGGAGACTCCAGCTGAACTCTGTGGAGCCTGATCTCAAGGTTTTTAAGTCTGACCCTGAAACCAGAAGAAGATCTTTCTGTCTCGTCAGATTCATTGTGATCCAGTGATTTCAGTCCTGCATGATCACGCTGATGTTTGCGCAGAGCAGATAATGAATTGAATGATTTGGCACATTGGTAACAGTGAAACAGTTTATTTGCAGCGTGGGCTCGCTTGTGTTTGGAGTATGAAGTGAAATTCTTGAAGCTCTTGTCACACTGGTCACAGCTGAAGTTCTCTTCAATGTGTGTACGTTCATGTCTGTTACAACCAGATGAACGTGAGAAACTTTTGTCACAGTGTCTGCACTTGTATGGTTTCTCTCCTGTGTGGACTCTTTTATGATCTTTAAGATGATCTGCAGTGGTGAAGGATGACCCACACTGGTCACAGAGGTGGTCTTTAACCCCACTGTGATAGAGTTCATGTTTTTTTAATGCACTTGATGTTGGAAAGCCACTCCCACATTCTTTGCAGTAGTTCATTTTGTCTCCAGTGTGTCTACGTTGATGCACTTTTAGGCTCCTTCGGTAACTGAAAGTTTTTCCACAAAGGTCACAGCGAAACGCTTTCCCACCACCACAGTGACGACAGGGTTGAGAACTGGATCCATCTGTGTTGCTCTGCTTCTAAACAAAGACACAAACACAGTGTAAGTCGGGGAATTCCTTCAACATTTTTATCCTGAACGTTGCCTGAAATAAAGAGCATGTCTGCCAACGTCCACATTTTACTGTTTACATTATAACACTCAGCTTACTGAACAACATTAAGTCTTCATTTGTAGGTAATCTACTTAATGGGAAGATTGGTTGTTAAACCCCTAGATGCTCCACTCTTCATGCCACAAGACCCTAACCCCAAGCCGCTCTCTGATGCATCCATTGGAGTGTGAATGTTACAAACATAGAAAGGGGAGGAGCTTTTAAAACTTTACTTTTTTCCAACAGCGGGAAAGTTTCAGGAGATTTGTGTCAGATTTGACCGAATATTCTGTACATGAAGTTTTCATGTCTCATTTAATTTTGAAATTAAACTTCATTCACATAATACTTCAAAATAACTGCAACTGTAAAAAGAAAAATACATACCTCACAGTAACTGCACTTGTAGAGTCTCTTTCTGGCGTGGATCTGTTGGTGTGATTTGAGGTAATTTGGATGTTTAAAAACTTTATCACACAGGTCACATTTATAAGGTCTCTCCTCAGTGTGGGAAAGCATGTGGCTTTGTAACTGTGCATCTGTTGTAAACAGTTTGCCACACTGATCACAGCAGTAAACATTATGTCCAGTGTGAATGCGTAGGTGAATATTTCGGTACCCTAACTGGCTGAAAGTTTTTCCACAAATGTCACAGCTGTACGCTTTAACTCCACTGTGGAGGAGTTGGTGTGTTTTTAAGCTTGAAGACTGTGTAAAAGATTTTCCACAAATGTCACAGCTGTACGCTTTAACTCCACTGTGGATGATTTGGTGTTTTTTAAAGTTTGAAGCCTGGGTAAAAGACTTTCCACACAAGTCACAGCTGAATGCTTTAACTCCACTGTGGATGAGTTGATGTTTTTTTAAGTTTCCAGATAGAGTAAAATCCTTCCCACACTCGTTACAGCTGTATGTTTTCTCTTTCTTTCTTCTGTGAGGTTTGTCGTCCTCCTGAGAGCGCTGACTTCTCTCTCCATGTTGGTCCTGCAGTGACAGAGATACAAACAGGCGCAGTGAGCAGGGTCACAGAGTGCGAGCAATCTGATTCGACTTAATTTCTCAATGGTGCAACAAAAAACATAAAAGTCCTAGGCCGCACCGCTGCCACCAGGCGTTCGATTCCTGTTTTCCAAAAGTGACCTCTGACAGAAAAGCCTCATTTCTGCTGTTTAATAGCAAACAAATGCAAACTTTTTAAAATGATGACAGATTACAAACGCTCAGCTGTGTCTGTAATCAAACCTCTGTAACTTTGCTCTGCTTCACTGCAGCAGCATCAGGTAATGTTCATGTGTTGATTCGTGGTTTTCTTCAGTTTTTGGTCGACTGCAGGATATTTTTAAGGTCATCTGCCATAAAAAGCAGATAACCCTATTTTATCCTCAGTTACTTTGACACAAAGACATCTGCAGTGATGCTCACACCTCTGATGATGTCACACATGTATCAGTACTGATAAATGATCAGAATTATAATATTTCTGACTGTCTGAGGCAAAATTGTATCAAATCGGGACCTTGTGAATCGGAATCGAATGGATTATAGAAATCAGTGATGATACCCAGCCATAGTGAGTGGCCTAGGCACGACAGAAGTGGATGTAGCTTTAATAAGAAAAGAACTATTGCTAACTTTTCTGTTAAGTTAAGGCCTGATCCGTCTGAAATTCATAGCCAGCTCTGACACGGAACCATCAATCTCTGAACGCTGAAAAAGCTCAGTGTATCCATCCATCCGCTTCTGCTTTCCAGGGTCGCCAGGCGTGCTGCAGCCTATCCCAGCTGTCAGAGGGCGAGAGGCGGGGTACACCCTGGACAGGTCGCCAGTCTGTCTCAGGGCCAACACACAGGGACAGACAACCGTTCGCTCTCACATTCACACCTATGGGTAATTTGGATTTATCAGTTAACTTATCCCCACAAACTGCATGTCTTTGAACTGTGGGCAGGAGGCCGGAGTATCTGGAGGAGGAGGCCGGAGGGAACCCACACAAACACGGGGAGAACATGCAAACTCCACACAGAAAGACCCCGGCCTGATGGTGGAATCAAACTCAGGACCTTCTTGCTGTGCGGCAACAGTGCTAACCACCGTGCTGCCCACAGTGTATCCAGAAAACACATTATATGCTGCGATAAATGCACTGCCCCCTCTCCCCACTGCCTTTCAGCGGCAGGCAGCAGCAAACCGGTCGTCAGAGGAGGCCGACGTGATGATTAAGTTTAACACTGTCTACATTGTAACCAAAGAGTGCCTTTAAGCACTAAGATAAGTTACTTTTTCAGTAACTTATCTTTGTTGTAGATCAAAGATAAAGAACTTTGTGTTGAAAAGATTGTTAGTTAATCATTTACAAATCAATATTGTCTGTATGGACAGCAATTTTTGTTTTAAATGAACAAGTAATTTGGGTGCACCTAAGAAACAAAGTTAGGCGCACCAGTGCAGTTAGTCTAGAGCGCTGGTGAGTGAAATGCAGTCGTGGAACAAACTGAAACTCCCTCCATGAGTGGAATCACAGACAATGGTAACTTTATTGTCCCCAGTGGGAGATTGATTTGTCCATGCAGAGATATAAAAACAAACAAACACAACAAACACAAAAATAAGCCCCAAGACAACAACCTAAATTTTAATCACCAAAAAAAGTACAGTGTGCAATGGCAACAACACTTACGGTTTAGTGTTATTAACCATGATAATAGCACTTGGTACAAAAGACAATCTATGTCTCTTTATAACAACGACCTGATGAGAGCAGCTGAAAGTCATTAGAGGCTGATCTGAACACAACATGACAGAGGTTTCCTTCCTCAGCACCTGCCTGTTATAGACGCCCACAAGCTGGACCCGAGACCTCCCTGATATCTGACCAGACACTTTAACCAGGTTGCTTAGTCTGGTCTTGTTATTACCATAGACGTCACCAAACACATTGTAGGTGTGTTATCACCACCTTCTGGTGATAGTCTCACATTACAATCATGTTACAGAATGAGAGTTGTAATCAAAATTACATTATTGAAGAAATATTGATCACAGGAGAAAAATGTTTACTGTGTGATCAATTCTGAGTCCAACTTTTCAACGTGTGCTGATAAAATATGATCTTTGTTTTTGTTTGTGAATACAGCTTCTGTATGTGTGGAGGAGCCCAGGATGGAAAAGATAAAGCTGATGTTAACATCCAGCTGTGCACACAGTTTCAATAACAGTAACTGAGATATTTTCTCACCTCCTGCGTTGAAGTCATTGTTTCCTCTGTAGTGGCTGAGCTGAGTCCAAATGGCTGAAACTGTTCCTCTGCTGCTCCACCAGACTCTTCTCCTCCTGTTACTCAGCTGGGACACAAAAGTATAGATATGCATTTTATCCCTGACAAGAAGAAGCAGAGCAAATAAACATTACTACACTCAGTGACAACAATACCTATGAAGCTTCAAGGTGAAACCCCAGAAGCAACCAGGGCAACGTGGCCAAAAATCTTTATCACTATATATATTTGAAAATTTGCAGCAACGATATAACTGATGAGGCAAAATACTTTACCACTCTACAACTTTATTAGTGCAAAAAATCTCATCAATTTATTTTACATGGAGGAAGTGGAAAGAAAGGCTCTTGGCTCTTTAACAGGGACAGCACCGAGTTACATGATAGAGTGAAACAGGGTCTCACAATGGTTTCACTCAGGACCTGCTGACACACACATTTTTCCACACATTGGCTCTTGTGATAAGATCAATGGTCAACAGTGGGTTGACGACCCTTTCAGTTGACAACCCCCACAAGGGTTTAAATGCCTGGGACTCTCCACCATTTGATTTTAGAACTGAAAAAGCCACTTTTGGATGAGAGGTGAAACGTTTAAAAAAGCTTACAGACGTCCAGTCACTTTCTTTCTAAGATCTTGGACTCAGAACAAAAGCTGTCCAGCTTTGTGTGTCTGTCAAAATGCTTTTTACAAATCCTGCTGGAATCAGTGTTGTTACAGCTGCAGTCAAAGCAAGATGGAAACAATGAAGAAGGAAAGTTCAAATCTACTCAGACTAAATGTCTTCAGTCAGTGTGTCAGCCTCCAGTTAACAACAGTGGTGAGAAACTGCACTACTGAACCTCCACTGACTGAGTAACTGCAGTTTGGTGCTTCATCAGAACTTCATGGCAGGAAGTGTTTCAGAGTGGGGACAGAGACAGTTGCAAAGTTCAGCTTTAGTGAGGCTAAACTCCAAAACCTGTTTTCAGCTAATGACTCTGCTTCTGTCTGGAAAACAATCAGACGGTGAACCAACCACAGACCTAAAGACCCCACTGCACCAACCATTCACAGCTGAACAGCTCCTGCTGTGGATTCTACCAACAATGACGTGATCACAGTCTCTCCACCCTCCTTGGGTTCTCTCTCCATAGATGTATGAAAATACTGCAGCAGATCGCTCTGACTTCCTGTTATCACTTCAAATAGAAACGAGGCTGTAGAGGTTTGGTGCAGGCAGAAAAACAGCTGCAGGGACAATGAAAAGACTTTCCTGCTCCAACTTCTCCCAGCATGCTGAGCTAATGATTAGTTGGTGTTTTTCTCCAAACACTCTCTCACTCTTCTCTCAACGTGTTCACAATAAACTGTGAACAGACACCGAGGAGAGCAGCAGAAGACCTCATTCAGGAGCTAAACTCAACATGAACTGAACTCACAGTAAAGTTAGCTCGGTGCTTACCTTTAGATGAGCCCACAAACCGAGAGAAACTCCGCGATGAAGCTGCAACTCTTTCCAAACACAGGAAACAGATCAGGGAGCAGAGACCCACGTGGTTCACGCTGATCTCAGCTACGATCCAGGAGACAAGGGTGGGCAGATCGATGCAGATATCGATCAGGACGTTGGTAGTGGTTTATGATCGATACTTTAGTTTGTTTCTCTCCTCTAAGTTCACTACTTTACTCCCGTTTCATGAAAAAGCAGCTCTCTCTGCTCGACTCCTCTCCTGCACACACACTTTGCTCCGCCCCCTTCTTCCTAATCTGCTTTGATTCGATGCTGTTTGGACACGTGACTCGAAAAAGAGGCCGAGCCTGTTTTTTTTTTTAAATGAACTTTATTTGTCAACAACAATATAAACATGTAAGGCACCATTATTTATCCATGCATCTAAATATAAACGGTTGAGCATTACAACAAGAGAAATAACAAAAGAAAGAAAGAAAAAGATGCAGAATGTGAGAACATAGACACAAACAGTGTGAACAGAAAGGGAAATCATGATCCACATCTCAGGTAGAGAGGAGGCCTCCTTTTAACATAAATAGAACTTATTGAATAGAAATATAAGTTTAGGGTTTTTCTCGTCATTTATGTGTTTCAGCGACTTACTCGAGAGTTTAAAATCATCCAGCCATCTGTTTACACATGCTTTAGCTTGAAATGTCTGCATTTGTGAATAAAACATTTCCCAGTAACAAGACAGTCCCAATCACCAAGTCTAACTTTGGGTTCTCAGCAACCATCCCAAATTTAACTACAGTCAAATGTGGTAACTGAATTCCCCTGGACTGTAGCCAGCTCCACATGTCAGTCCAAAAGGAGTGCACTGATTCACAATAGAAAAACAAGTGATCCAAACTTTCAATGTCATTTTCAGAGAATCCACAGGTGTTTGCATGTGGGTTAAATTTCAGTTAATCTGTTGGGTTAATCTCATTTATGACTTTAAAATTAACCTGTTTTTCTTTACTGGGAAGGGGAAGTAAAATACACTTTCTTCGTATCAGTTTAACTTCCATAGCCTCAAATTCTTTTAGAATATAATTTCCTTTAACCAGGTTATGGAAATGTTATCAAAAATCTGATCTCTCTAAACCTGCTGCCACCAAAGTCAACACCAGCTGTGCAGAGCTGTCTCAGTCCAGGAGGATTTTTAGAGTGCACAATGTCTTCTTTAATCATTGATTTCAAAGGGACTGGGATGGCTTTTGTTAGTGTTTTATAACTCTTAGCAGCACCTTACGTCAAACTTACGTCTCATGTTAATAAAACCCCATTTCAGGGCATTATTTCTTGTCCATACACAAAGGTTAAGTTAGGTAAGGGTTAAAAGATCAAGATCGTATATTAAAAATAAATCTCCCACTCGCCCCTGTGGGTGCTCAATCCTTCAAGCTCGGGTCCTCTACCAGAGGCCTGGGAGCTTGAGGGTCCTGCGCAGTATCTTAGCTGTTCCCAGGACTGCGCTCTTCTGGACAGAGATCTCCGATGTTATTCCCGGGATCTGCTGGAGCCACTCGCCTAGCTTGGGAGTCACCGCACCTAGTGCTCCGATTACCACGGGGACCACCGTTACCTTCACCCTCCACATCCTCTCGAGCTCTTCTCTGAGCCCTTGGTATTTCTCCAGCTTCTCGTGTTCCTTCTTCCTGATATTGCTGTCATTGGGAACCGCTACATCGATCACTACGGCCGTCTTCTTCTGTTTGTCTACCACCACTATGTCCGGTTGGTTAGCCACCACCATTTTGTCCGTCTGTATCTGGAAGTCCCACAGGATCTTAGCTCGGTCATTCTCCACCACCCTTGGGGGCATCTCCCATTTTGACCTCGGGACTTCCAGGTTATACTCGGCACAGATGTTTCTGTACACCAGTGGTTCCCAAATGTTTTTTTGCAAGGCCCCCCTTTGTTTTACAAGACAAATGTTCATACTGCACAGCAGAGGTTCCCAAAGTGTGGGGCCTGCCCCCTAGGGGGGGCGCAGAGCCATTGCAGGGAGGGCGCGGCATGAAAAGAAAAAAGAAAGAACTCTTGGACACTGCTAGCATAATTGACAGGTTTTTGACGGGGCTCCCACAGAAACGCAAAGCAGGAGATGAAGCGTCGCTGAATATGTTTCCAAACCAACTTCATTCTGAGCCAAAGACTAGAAAATATGGTGAAGCAAATCTTCCCTTTGGCTTCACCTGCACAAGTGCCGAGGTAGGTCTCCCTGCAGGATTAGTTTCCCTGTGTCGGGAGCAGCGCTGGGCTGTTTAAATCACAGACAAACAGGATCCCACAGCTGTTTATGTTTTTGAACCCATTTTGCACAGAGAGGCATTTTTTGAAAAATGTATTGACAGCAATGTTGAATATTATTCCACAGGAAAAAAACAGCACGTAAAATAATTACACCGTGATGCCTCTGCCTTTGTAAATGGAGGGACAGTAACTGCGTGTATGTAAGCCTGTAAAACCTGAAGATAGTCAGAACATTTTTCTTGTAAAACAAAGGAGCAAAAAACGTTTGGGAACCACTGGAGAAAGGTGAATGTCTGTGAGCACACTGATGTAACATCACTTAAAAAAGATTTGGACACAAGACAGATACAGGGACACAAACATGAGGACACTAATCACATCACACAGAGACAGATCGGAGGAGAAGGACAAAAGAAACAAACAAACCAGAAAACAAGAATTACAAGAATCGCAGTGGCACGGGAAAATAACAGGACATACATATCTGTACTTTCATAGAAATAACAAACAAGTCCAGAACAAAACTGAAAATACTGAGTGAAAGATCAGGACAAACAGACAGTAACAGACAACAGAGCGTCAATCATTCAATAAAAGTGAACTACAAGGTTAAAGAAAACAAACTTAAGTTTACAGGAGCAAAACTGGAGCTTTAAAAGCATTTTAATGAACTAAAAACTTTTATTATGATGGTCCAGCCATGAGTGACACCCTGATGAAAGCTTGTATGAAGCTAGATGTTAAACATGAACCTCCTGATATATTTGTTTATTTTAACCATTGTGTACAGTGCTTTGTGACTGCCTGTTTATGTGCTTAATAAATAAAATGGTAAATGGCCTGTATTTATATAGCGCTTTACTAGTCCTTAAGGACCCCAAAGCGCTTTGCATATCCAGTCATCCACCCATTCACACACTGGTGATGGCAGCTACATTGTAGCCACAGCCACCCTGGGGCGCACTGACAGAGGCGAGGCTGCCGGACACTGGCGCCACCGGGCCCTCTGACCACCACCAGTAAGCAACGGGTGAAGTGTCTCGCCCAAGGACACAACGACCGAGACTGTCCAAGCCGGGGCTTGAACCGGCAACCTTCCGATTACAAGGCGAACTCCCAACTCTTGAGCCACGATCGCCGAAATAAACTTTACTTTCTTACTAAAGCTTCAGCCCGCTCGCACCCTCAGCTCTCATCTAATGGTTTACCCCACAGCAGGGATATTTATAATTGAGCTAATTGTTATATTATAGCTGTTTGTCATATTTTGCGACTTTGTACTATATTGTATTATTTAATCCATTTTAGTCTGTTATTGTTCTTACTGTGTTGCAGCAAAAGGGATGAATAAAGTATTCTGATTCTGAAATTTTAGGTCAAGAGTCTGAAATACAAGAAGCGACATCGTGGCTCAAAGCTTTTATTTTCACACCAAACTGTTTTCATAAGATAAACTTCAAACACGGTTTAGCATTTGCAGGATTTTCACAAAATTATCGTTGAGCATTTGTATTTATATAGCACATTTAATCATAACAGCAACAGTGACCAAAGTGCTGTACAGAAATAAAAAGTAACTCATGCCAAATAACTTATAAAGTTGTGAAATAGATTCAGTAAACAGAAACAGAATAAAAACAGCAAAGGAAAAATCGACACGACACAGCTGAAGATCTAAAAATCTTTTTTCATGGTCTTGAAAATCAAACAGTTACAACAACTACATCTTCATCACCATCAGTTTTAAGAAGAAGAGCACCGGTTAACCTTTCAGATTTTGTCTTCAGCTGGAGAATCCAATTTTTAAAAACAGCGGCGTGTACAGAGCCTCGACCCCACCAGTTGATAACAGAGGACATTTTTGGCATCTCTGCAGAATGATGAGTAACAGGCCGGCACCTCCACAAAGCTCCTTCCAATCTCATTTGCAGACACAAACAATATTCCAAGCAGCGTCTTTTACAGTGTTTTTTGAACCGTGAAGCCGTGTTGTCAGATGCTGATATGGATAGTTTAAGAAATGCACACAAATCTTTATACACTAAAAAAGGGGGGGAAAAGTTTGAGGGAACAATTTACAAGTTTTTACACAAACGATTCAGTGCTTCTTTCTGGGCTGCTTGTGTCCCACCAACTAAGATGACTTTTATAGCACTGGTTTAACTGCAGAAAAGATTCATTATTATTTAACAAATGTGGAGCAGCAGCGGCTCTACTCTGAGCTCCTCCCGGATGGCCGAACTTCTCACCCTATCTCTAAGGGAGAGGCCAGCCACCCTTCGGAGGAAGCTCATTTCTTGTATCCGCGATCTCGTTCTTTCGGTCACTACCCACAGCTCGTGGCCATAGGTGAGGGTAGGGACGTAGATCGACCGGTAAACTGAGAGCTTCGCTTTTACACTCAGCTCCCTCTTCACCACGACGGACCGGTGCAGCGTCCGCATCGCTGCAGCCGCCGCACCGATCCGTCTGTCGATCTCGCACTCCCTTCTCCCATCACTCGTGAACAAGACCCCGAGATACTTGTCCACACTTTATAATGACCTGTGACTGCTGCTGTCGTTCACTTCAACGTGTTTACATTCGTGACGGTAACGATTAATCGAGTGCGTAAAGCTTTTCTCACAATGTCTGCACTTGTATGGTTTCTCTCCTGTGTGGATTCGTTCATGCTTCTTCAAGTCACTTGCAGTGATGAAGGATGACCCGCACTGGTCACAGAGGTGCTTCCTAACCCCACTGTGGATCAGTTCATGGCGCTTTAATGCACTTGGCATGGGGAAGCTTTTCCCACACTCTCTGCAGTAGCTCAGTTTGAGTCCAGTGTGTCTGCGCTGATGCAGTTTCAGGCCCGATTTCTTCTTGAAAGTATTTCCACAAACGTCACATCGAAACGCTTTCCCAGCTCCGCAGTGATGGCAGGGTTCAGGACCGGATCCACTGGGTTCACTCTGCAAAAGACACAGTGACAGCTGTTGGTTAAATGGCAATATGCATTTCTCTATAAATACATAGTTTAAA